TTTTGGTGGTGTGAACACCGCGCGAGCATGGCAAGTACCGGGGCGCAGGGGAATCCTCGGCAAGCTATGCAAAGCTGGGAACTGTTTCCAGCGTATATCCCTGACGGTGTGTGGGCATCTTTTCAGAAGAGCGAGCTCAACATGATGGCTGCCCTGGAGCTCATTCTGACCACCTTGGTCAAGATGGGCATGAGGACTCCATCGGAGCCGACGCAGGCCATGCTGGTATCTCTCTTGATCCTCCGCAAAGGCCCTGAGCGCCGCAGTCGACTCGAGCAGGACACGAACCAGCTACGGTCTTTGCTGTGTACCTTTGCGTAATTTTTTTTGCCACAGCTTTTGGGTTTCCTATGTTTCCTTTTGGTTTCCTTTTTGTCTTTGTCTTGTCGCGTGTTGAGGCAATGTCAAGGCGCAGGTGGATGCAAAGGTGTCTCGCGAAAGGGTTTTGACTGGTCGCTTGCCCAACTTGGTCGCTTCGTTGCCAGCTAATGTGAGAGAGGCGCCTCAGAGTGTCCAAGACGTTGCTTTTGCAGATGGCACTACGCCGCCAACTTGCCCATGGCCGATTGAGGACATTCTCAGGTTGGCAAAGACGATCCCGCTTCGCAAGACACGGAAGGAGCTGACAGCGCAGCCTATCAACACCATGGGCATGCATCCAGGAGCTGTACAATTGTTGCAAGTGCTGTGCATGGGTATGGGAGCATCTTTGAACTTGCATCAAAACCAATCCGCACCTGATCCATTGAATATCACAATGATGCAGCCGAAAGAGCGAGGTTTGAAAAGCTTGCTTCGGACTCTGTGCATCCACCAGCTAATGGTGGTGAAGGCCCACTGGCTTTGCAAGACTTGCCCAGATCCGCTTCTGCGCCGCCCAAGCTGCCTGCGGTTCCAGAGGTTCAGCCTGAGGTTGGCCCAAAAGAGATACCATCCTTGCCTGTGCCACAGGCAACTGTGGAGAACCAGCAGCCAGCGCCACAGGCAACTGGGAAGCAGCAGGCTGGAGCACAGGATGCCGTTCTAGAGAACGATGCAGTCGCGAATCATGAGAAGCCCATCACTTTGAGGGAATCAATGGAGAAGTTGAAGCAAGCCCGATTGACAGCCAAGGGGGCAGGCACAGCGCGCGATCGAAACACAAAGGGACCTTTGAAGAGGCCAGCGTCAGCTATGGAGCCGGTGGTGAAGCCAACAAAAGTGGCCACACCCAAATCCAAGGGTCCTGTGAGTATGAAGCGGCCAGCCTCAGCTAGCTCAGTTCGATCCAAGGAGATTTGCCAGAAGCCATCCAAGAAGGAGTTGAAAAAGGCCTTGCTGGCCAAGATTCCAGGCTAAACCAAGAATGTCTACCGCAAAGGATGCTCCAAGTGTCGGTATGTGGAGTACTGCACACTTTCGTGTTGGGCTATGAGGGGATGGCGCATTTAGGTGTTTTGTGTTGTAGATTCTTTTGCAACACGGCTTGGAGCATCTTTGTTGTGTAACAACGTTTGCAACGGTGCTTCAATAGTGTTTTGATCACTATGGTCACTTTGGGAAGATCTTTGGAGATCAGCTGCTTGGGAAAAAAAAGTATTGCTGCCTGCCAGCATGCATTCCGCAGAGCTCCTCACTGAAGTCTAAATGGTTTCCTGCACGCATTCTGCAATGTTTGCGTCACCCTTTTGCAATGGTGTTTTGTGAGCGTTCATGGGATTGGCAGTGCTCCTCAACGGTGGTCCGTGAGGAGTAGGACACTTGTTGGCTTTAAAGCTCACTCATGCTCAAGGAGTGCTCTAGTTAGTAGGCTCATGCATTCACAAAGGTTTTGTCTCCACATGTCTAGGCCAGCAAACATGCGTAGCTTTAAGGAATGAGACGATGTGAGGTTTTGTTTCACATGTAGTTCTCAGATTTGGAGTCTTGCAATGGAGGCGCCCTGGTGCAAAAACAGCCGAAGGAAGTACATCCGGCAGCTCAAGATTGCTGGTGTCGTTGTTGATGATGATAAAAACGACTGCAAAGAGGTTTCCGAGTTGGTTAGCAAGAGCTTGCTTTTGTTTTTGCACCCCTCTTTCAAGCTGTTGGCCCCGTAATATCCTCATGAAACAGGCTACCTTGTTGGTGGACAGCTTCTGTGTTCAAAACATGTGTGGACAAGGCTTTGGCTGTGGATTCTTCTTCAATGGAGGCTAGCTCCACGCTACTGGATGAAGTTTCCCGCCCCAATTCAATCAATGTTTTGTTTCAATGAAGTGTTTGCCTGCTATGTGTGACAACTTTCTACCAAAACAGTTTAAACGTTGAGTCACCCCGGAGATGCTGGCTGTCAGTAACCAGTTGTTATTGGCACTGTCAGGCTGAAGAGCCAGCAGAACATGGTGCGTCAGACGAAGACCCCAGCGATCCATCTGGTCTACCTCAAGCTGATGCTGTGCCTGTGGAGTATGACTGCCCTACAATGAGTGACCCTTTTCAAGTGAGTGAGGGCGCGGAGACAGCTGAAACAGTGAGGGCCGGTTCTTGCAAGACTGAACCAAAGGATGAACCAAAGATGAAAGTGGTTAATCCAGCTGGAATTTCACTTTCCGTGCCGAGATGACAGTGTGGGCTGAGAATCTAGGCATCAGTAGAAGACAACTAGAAAGGCACATGGGAGTGCATCGAAAAAAGAATGCACGCAAGTGAACTGACAGCAGCTGGAATGGTTGAAAAAGGTGCAGGCCACCAAGATCTTTGTTGCAAACGTGGTCATGTTGAATGAATAAAAACTAATGCACACATTAAAAAGGGGTTGCGCAAACAAACCAAACCTTTTCCAAGAAAAACAACAAATGCTTTTGCACGAAACGGTATCCAGGGGCTTTGAGCGGTGGTCCGCTTAAAGTCATATCATTTCACACACCTTTGAAAGAGATGAGAGAGAGGTGGTCTCCTAACCTATGAGCAATGGCCTCCAACCTACTAGTGATGGCCTCCAACCTCCCACCTACTAGTGGTGATTTTGGCTCAGCTGAGGCGCTTTGCTTAGGCCAGGGTGTTTTTTGGGGCATAGCCTCGACAAACAATATGTCGTTCAGGTGGGGACTGTCCACGGCTGAAGCGGCCATGAATGTTGACTTTGGCCAAGTGGTCGGCTGTATGGATGGACAAGGGTGGCGTCCTCCGAAACAAGCTCTGCGCTTGCGTTTTGATGCGAGTGAGCCACTTTCTTGCAGTATTTTGGGAGGGTCTCGCGTTTGTGGTATGAAGCTCTTTTCAACATTTCACGCCAGTGTGATCCAGTATGATTAGGCCCACGTGAGCTTGATGCCAACATTGAACAAAGAAACATTGCCTCATCATTTATGGGATTATACATGTACAGTCCTTTTTTGCAAATACATGTTTTTCAGGTTCATTTCACTTTTGACTTTTGTTACCCTCAGTGTGTGCAGACTTTTTGATCAAATGAAGTTCTGACCCAGGATCTTCTTGAGCTGCAGCGCTTTCCATGGTTCCTACAATAAGTTCAGCTTTGCGAGGGACGAAGTCTACGATGGCATCCACTACAAGGTTTTCATTGGTGCGTCCAACCTTGCAGCAATTGTCGAAGTGGGAGACAGCAAGAACCTCATGATGCTTCTGATATTTCACCAAAAGAGCGACCACGAAGCTGAGGTCAAGAGCCTCGCCAGTGAGTCGCTGGGAGTTTGGGATTTCAATAACATCAAGGTTTTTGACCTGGTGAAGCGTGCTGCCATGCTGAATGACAAGGAGTTGCCTGCGGAGCAACGCAACCATCGACTTCGTGCTATTGTTGGTGTCAATACCGTGAGCATCGAGCAATGGAATGACAATGCAGGGACCTTGTTTGGAATGTGTGACATCAGCTCTGAAGATGAGATTGGGATCAATGAGATGACAAAACCTGGCAACAAGACCAATGGTGGCAAGAACAAAAATACCGAGCTGAAAAAGACCAAGGCGAATGCAGGCAAGCAGGCTGCTAAGAAGAAACCCGCAGCTGCACCCAATGTGCCGAAGCATAAACCCAAGACCAACGCGCTGAGAAAGAGGCCAGCATCCAAGCCCTGAGCGAGTTGCAGCACTAGTCACGGCTAGGTCACCGTAGGTTTTTGTGCCCAGGCATGCCCAGGCAACTGCTTGGGACGACCATTTTGACAGCCGTGTGAGTGTGTGGAAAAATATACGTGTTCCAAGAGTTAACTAATTAATTCACAGACTGATTGTTGTTTGAATTTCGAAGTTGAGTAAAACACATAATTTGCGCTTAGGCGGTGGTCCGTCTTAGCAAAGTTCAGACACATTGTGTGTGTGTGTCTGTGTGTTTCTGTAGTTGCCGTTGGGATGGCATTCATGACCATCATAGAACAACAAACAATCATCATTCATACATATATAACGCACTGTGTCAGTATGGTGTCAGGATGTATCAGGATGTGTCAGGGTACCCTGACACATCCTGATACCATCCTGATACATTTTGAAAGCTGTGTCAGGATTGTATCTGGATGTATCTGGATGTGTCTGTAAAGCTGTGTCTGTATAGCTGTGATGCGCTTCACTTGGTGTATGATTGCTTTACTTGGCAGCCAGCTCTTTTTGAAACAAAGAAGAGAAGCACGATCGTTAGCGCCATGAGCCGCCAGCCGGAATCCTCCGAAGAACAAATCACCCTGGCCCAAGCTGCTCCTACCATTGAAGTGATGGACAGTGAAACTTTTGTTCGAAGTGCCATCTAGAGGTTACCAGTGAGAATGCTGTGGCGAAGTACATTGCCAAGGGGGAAGGGCAAACTTTTCTTTGCAAAGGTTGTCATGCCACTGATGTCATGATTGGTCGTCATTTTGGGAAGCTTCCAAGTGTGTGGGATAGGCTCACTGAGGAGGAACAAGTGCAGTTTTACCGTCAGGTACTCACACGCAAAGAAGCAGGGCCTCTCAGGTTCAAAACGTTGAGAACCGATTTGAAGGAAGCACTGGTAAGGAGATCCATTGAGGAGACCCGGACAGGATGGAAAGGCCAGTATGAGCCTTTGGAGGCTTACCGCTTGAGAGGCTACGACACCGAAAAGATCAAGAACCTTGCTGACAAACAAGTTCACCCAATCCTCGGAGATACTTACCGGGTGGACATCAACACTTTCAGCAGAGAGTCCATCGAGCAAGACATTGAGGAGCTTTTGAACCAGGTTGACAAGAAGGTTCAGCGGAGCAAGATGCCAAACCACATGCGTGAGAAACCGAAGGCAAAGGCAAAGGGAAAGAACAAGAAAGGCAAGACCAATGAGCCTGAAGTGGACGAGGAACAGAAGGAGGACGAAGCGCCACCACAGGAGCCAGACCCCGTGTTTGTGGACCTGGCCTGCATGGAGTCCGACGATGAAGTGGTGGTTTCCTGTCTGGTTTACGTACTCTTTTTTCAGTTGGGTGGAGTCAGATAAATGATCTATATGGCGCGAGTGGCGCTCAATTATATAGATAAGAAATATGTTTATATGGTACAGTTTCCACAAGGGTGAACCAAATGACTCCAGGATGACACACATGTTTAAACAGATGGTTCTTGAGAAGGTCAGCTCTTGTTAATGTCAAGTTTGCGCAGGTTGTGACGCCGGGCGAAGACAAACTCTCAGATAAACAACGTGAGAGGAAAAGGAAGCGTGAACAGATGCAAGAAGCGAAGAAAGAGCATGCCATAGCTGAGAAGAATAGTCGCACCTTGGTGACCTATGCTTCCAAAGCCATCTCTTCGGTGGAGCCGCTCTTGAAAAGGCTTCAGGCTTCCGACAAGTCCATTGAGAAGGTAAGGCATCTCATGGAGGACATGACAGTCCAAAACCTGGGCGAGCATTTGGATTGGGCAAAGAACACCTTGGAAGAGGCCCATAAGATCATGAAAGCAGTGGGCAATGGTGGGCTTGCCAAGTGAGATGACTACGATACGATTCACCAGGATGTCATTGGTGCCAAGGTGAAATCATGCAACTCGGTGCTGAAGGCAGTCGCGCTGGAAAAGAAGGCGGTCAAAAAACAATGAGCTAATGTTTCCGATGTTTCTGCACGCGTTTAGTGTAAGCTTCGAGTTTGTAGGCTCGAGGTTTCAATTCAATTAAGGATGCCTCATTTGCCGTGGCTGTACATCTTTTTGCCACATGCAGTGCAAAGATCTGTAGCTATCACAACCGTTTCTCATGGGAAAAAACATTGGGCGCAGGCTGATTTTTGTCTAGTTGCGGCGGTCCGCCTACCTCAAACATTGTCTACACGGTTTGTTTTCTGCAGGGTGACTTCTGTCTATTTGCGACCTTTTTTGGGATAGAGCGGTGGTCCGCCTATCTCAAACATT